TACAGGGTGGGCCAAAAAAACGCCACTTGTTCTTCAAAATGCTATAACTTTTTTATTTTTTTGATATTAAATCATAATTTGAATACCAAATGAAACTTGAGGTTGTTATCTAGCCATGGATCATAAATTATATACTTTTACTTGAATAAAATATGTCACAGCGTCTCACTTAAACATGTGGTGTGCCATGAGAAATAAGCATTATTTGCAAAATGTTCCTGAACTGATACGGCCTGATGATCGTTAAGTTAATAGCCCTGATGCACACCCCAGTGAGTATAGGGTATGGGAAGGTCTCCGGGAGATTGTATGAAGGCACCCCATCTAGAAAATTGCTCAACTAAAGCTGGCAATTAAGACAGGTTGAAAAAAACTTAGCTAACATTTCATCGATACTGCAATATCAGCAAGGCGACTAAAACTAAAATATATCATTATTTAGGGTGGCGGACCAATTGAACTCCCCTTTTAGATCAAATATAATCAAAGTTGAAGGACTTGTTACATTATATGATTACTAAGAACCCTTGACACTATATAACTGTAAAATTTGAGGTATGTAGGTTGGAAAATAAAAAAGTTGTAGTGTCTTGAAAAAAAGTGGCGTTTTTTGGCCCACCCTGTATATTTAACGCTTTGTATCCCTTGATCTGATACAAGTACGCAAGCTCTCTGTCACGGAAGAGTTAATAGTTATACACGTAGTGACAGATTTCATCATGATGAATTAGTAACTTACTTTAATGAATGTCAGAGTTGTGGGTGATTTTAACCACACATGTCTTGTGTGAAGATTTGGGAATGAAGGTTGTAGCCCAAATTTAAATGCGAGGATACAAGACATGAGTGGAAAGGAGTATACAGGTTGAGCAAAAAAAGATATCCCAGACAAATGTATACTGATTACTCAGTTATGCATCATTGGTTTGGAATTAAATTCGGCATAATTAAACCTAGTTCAATGTTCTTTCCTCATACCAAGTTTCATTGGTATATCTCCGGTCACGATTTATGGCCATTTACAAAACATGCTCCAAATGCCAAAAACGTGCCATATTCATTCACCACTCACTAATATAAAATGTGTACACCTTGAAACATTGAAACAAGAGATAAGAAGTAAGATGACGCACGTGTCTGTGCTAGTGTAGCGAATAACTAACGCTCGATATGTTTTAATCTTCAGACACGACGGTATTCTATTGCATGTTTTGTAAAATGACCATAAAATCGCGACCATTTCGAATAGACCAATTAAACTTGGGAGAATGAAATTGAACAAGGTTTGATTGTGCCAAATATGACATGCTGAATGACTTATTAACATTTGTTTGGGTTACCTTTTTTGGATAACCATGTAATGCCATGGGCATGAGAGCGTATTTTTAATCAATTAAAAAATTAGATTGCTGATTGCTATTTGAATCAACCCTTCGAAAAATAATTGATCAAATATAATATATTATATTTTCTGTAGCGTTGCGTCGATCTGTGATATCCACATTTTAGTTAGTATTTCCTCTAACAATTCTACGTAATAAAATCAAAATAGATCCATATAATTGCATGAAACATACAATACCACGGGCTATTCTCTAATCTTGTTTATATGTTTTGATATGATTTACCCATACGGGAACGTCGTCTCAAATAATTGATCTTTGACACTCGAGTGAGCTCAGAAGTTTTTAAAACGTTTTTCCTGGTTTTCATCGTCGTATTTCGCTATAAGCAGGCGTTTTATTTCCGGAATTCGCTTTGAAAAGATCTGAAATCATTCTTAAGTGAGTGAACTGGAAAACGTTTGCATTAGTTCAGCTGGGTTCATTATAAGCAGTTCAATACGTCTCGATCAATGGTTCAGGCAATAATTCTGATCAAAGCTAGCACTATTGACATAAAAAACAAGTTTACCAACAAGGGTGGGCGAGATGTACTAATGACCTGAGAAGATCAAACATGCATGAGCAAGAATGTGAGTTCTAGAATATATAGAATTCAAAATGCCTTGGCAAGAATATATCATTTCTGGTCAAAATAAAATGCATAGGCAAAGTCAAACATGTTTGAACAGGAATTTCAGTTCAACTTGGAATCCAACAATCCTGGGCAAAATACGACATACGCAGTTCAACATAAAATGTCCAAGTGGCGGGCTAGTCAACTAGACTTTACTTCAATATGGATAATTGAGAAGGAATTCGTCATTTATGCAATACTGCAGACTTGGCAGATCATCATGGTACCTTTATTTGGATGTTTTGTCGTTTTTGAAGCTCAAAGATACATGAAAAGAAGTTGAGGACAGTTTCAGGAATCACTACTATATACTAATAACTAGTATTGAAGAGCCAATGACCGATCATTCACGATCAACAAATCTTCCAATGACTCCACGTACCATCTGGGTTCAGATATTGGCAGCATAAAAGTGCAATGCATGCATCATCGACATTCAGTGACACACATACGTACATATCAATGTCAAGAAGATTAATTTCAATACCCATCTGATCTTGTTTAGCATTAGTAACGATTTGGGCTAAGAGACTAACCGAATAGACAAACCGTTTAGTACATCTGATGATCTTGTTTAGCGTTAGTAACGATTTGTGCTAAGATACTAACCGAATAGACAAACTGTTTTGTACATCTGATCTTGTTTAGCATTAGTAACGATTTGGGCTAAGAGACTAACCGAATAGACAAACCGTTTAGTACATCTGATGATCTTGTTTAGCGTTAGTAACGATTTGTGCTAAGATACTAACCGAATAGACAAACTGTTTTGTACATCTGATCTTGTTTAGCTTTAGTAACGATTTGGGCTAAGAGACTAACTGAAAAGACAAACCGTTTAGTACATCTGATGATCTTGTTTAGCGTTAGTAACGATTTGTGCTAAGATACTAACCGAATAGACAAACTGTTTTGTACATCTGATCTTGTTTAGCATTAGTAACGATTTGGGCTAAGAGACTAACCGAATAGACAAACTGTTTTGTACATCTGATCTTGTTTAGCTTTAGTAACGATTTGGGCTTAGAGACTAACTGAAAAGACAAACCGTTTAGTACATCTGATGATCTTGTTTAGAATTAGTAACGATTTGGGCTAAGAGACTAACCGAATAGACAAACTGTTTAGTACATCTGATGATCTTGTTTAGCATTAGTAACGATTTGGGCTAAGAGACTAACCGAATAGACAAACTGTTTTGTACATCTGATCTTGTTTAGCTTTAGTAACGATTTGGGCTTAGAGACTAACTGAAAAGACAAACCGTTTAGTACATCTGATGATCTTGTTTAGCATTAGTAACGATTTGGGCTAAGAGACTAATCAAATTGACAAACCGTTTAGTACATCTGATGATCTTGTTTAGCATTAGTAACGATTTAGGCTTAGAGACTAACCAAACAGACAAACTGTTTAGTACATCTGATGCTCTTGTTTAGTATTAGTATAACGATTTGGGCTAAGAGACTAACCGAATAGACAAATCGTTTAGTACATCTGATCTTGATTAGCATTAGTTTACGATTTGAGCTAAGAGACTAACCGAATAGTCAAACTGTTTAGTACATTGCATTGATTGTTGCAAGTGGTCTGAAGATAAATGTTCCTCAATATCCTCAGAATCTATGAATGCATTACCGTTCCTTTAATTCCTAAATCTTGTATATCTCATCAAACGGCTAGTCTTGAATCACTTAGTCTTAGTGAAGGCGAGGCCCTCGTAAAAGTACCAAAATGATTGCTTTATTGCATTCTAGAACAAAACTATTACTTCTGGCTTGCCAAGATTATTCAACAAAGTATTTTCATCATGCAATCATAAAAGTTATCGCGATTCTGCCAACTCTCAATAGACTAACTTAACTCCATAAAGTAGTGATTTAGAGGAGATTTCCAGTTCCCAATCTGCTGCTTGATCTGATACTGGAGATTTAAATAACATTATTCTATGATTGATATTAAGAAGTACACAATGCATTTAGTTTTATTCATTGTTTATGAGAACACATAGAGCAGTCTCATTACAATTTGGGTTAAATATTTGCCCTCAATTCAGCTTTACAATGTAATGATGAAATGCGTTTTCCTGGTTGATTATAATTGTATTTCAACTTCCCTTTCGCACTTCTCACACCACAATTGTGTTTATTCCGTAAATCCACAATTGGTTGCTTGTTGAATTGAATAAAAATAGAATGTTCCATGTTGCTTAAAAATAATATTTTTACATATATTTTGATTCACAGGGTATGTAATGGATAAAATCATTTTCGTTACATTAATTTTTAAACCTATTTGTTTACTGAAATATTGCCTGTGTATTACTATTTCTATTAATGAAATGGCAATAGGAAAACATGTAATGTTCGTTCATACTATTCTAGTGAATGTTAGCTTTATACGGGCATAAACATTCATTGGGAGTATTCGAACCTGCTGGCATTGATCCGTATGTAAGACACCTACATGCAAAAGTTCAAATTTAATTAAAATGGCAATCAGTCTGATCGACTTGCCTTACTTTGCTGTGATCGAATGATTTTGTTGATTTTGCGTGGTGTGTGTTTCACGTACTATTCTCTTTGGGTTATTATCTAACTCCAAGACCAGATCTAGACGATTACCATTCATCATCATTTCATGAAAACCAGACGCAACTTTATTTTTTATTTATAGCTTTTACATTTTTCATTCAAACATTTTAGAGCATAGAGTAGACACGTGGAACACATTGACTTGTACAGGGCAATCCATCCAGAGAATGGTTATGGGGATTTTATCAGCACACGAGGCAATATTTCAGAACACGAACACAACGTAGTCGTAAATAGCAAGACTGGGGACAACAGTCAACGGAATACACATGGGGCGTGGGCCTACATCTATGGCAAACGTGTTTTTTATTAAGTCCAATTATTCATCTGTGTTAAGTTACCAATTCGACAAAATAATTTAATTGTATTTAATTGTTCTATTTTCAGGTGATATACCATGCAGTTATCCTATGGGAGCGTCTATGCTAAGTGAACAATTACAACTCTGATTGGTGACTGGATTCTCCGATACAAAATGATTGGAAGTGAAATAAACATTTATCACCATGCATCACGCCAATAGTCAAAGGATATATAAATGTTCATTTACGTCCAAATGAATCTCTCCTCGTCGATTGGGATCTTCCCTACGGTGCTATCTCGAGACACCGTCGTATGGTTGATTCAGGCTTAGGCAATAGATCTAAGTATTAATCTAGCTAACATCGGATGCTCATGTAGACAAGCCGACAGGCGGAGGAAATTAAACTAAAAATTCATATTGATATCTGGCACTGAACTAAGATGGGAGGCCTGATTGATCCATACCTGATAAGGTAGTTTGTGCGTGAGACATTATTCCATCCATGATTTTCCCGATCAGTTCTATTTAAGCTGAATAAATACTAATAAGATAACGTCTTACAATAATGCAGGGGTGAGTTTAGACACGGTGTTCGGTCAAATTAAATCAGCTCGAAGAAAATGGATTAGATTTTTCAGATCGTGTTGGATTAAGTGCGATATAAATCAGGCTGGTTTTGCGTTAAGACGACAGGTAAGCAGATAGAAAGCTTAAAGCAATGATATTCTGCTGCTGTAGGCGGCCTGAGCCGCAACCTAAATTTGACAGTGAAGAAGTCGACCTCGCTGCAGACCTGGCGAAGTTGGAAGCTACATTTAGTAATGGTAGGCCGGGGAATCTACCAGTCGTCACATTTGGTGATGATGATGAGACTGTGAAACTTTGTGGCGGTGACGATGCGGGGCCCGAATCGTCAAAACGTGACCTCAATCACCGTAGATCGACCAGTGCTAGTGGTACCTCAACTGGATCAGTAGACCGTGGAGACAGAGGGTCATATAGGAGTCGACATGGTAGCGCTAAGTCTAATGAATCAAACACTGCTGTTGATGATAAACAGCCAAAAAATGGCGATAAAAGTACTTTTGAGGTTAACGGTGAAGTTAAAAACGTCAAGGAAATCTCTGTGTTCGAAGCACCTGATTTCCCTTACTGTCCACATCCGGTTGAAGGACCAGATCGAGAGGAGAACACTACAGTAGATAGAGAACAGACTGATGACGGATATGTAGTCCGACAAACCACTACCGAAACGTCGCGGCAAAAAGTACTCCGTTTAAAATCTGCTGAGGCCACGCCGGCAATTGTTGGCATGCAACACAAAGACGTTGACCAAGATGGTATCAAACTTTTTCAAATGCATTTTGATGTTAGTAAATATAGTTTTGACGATATGGAGCTTAAGGCTGTTGACAATACTCTTGTCGTGATACATAAGAAAAACGAACGTGTCGGAGCAAGAAAATATAAAATCAGAGAACAATCAAAACAGTTTGTTTTGCCAAATGGAGTGGATATCGGAACTATTAAAGCAACATGGTGCAGTGATAATATTCTAGTGATTGAGGCTCAAGTTTATGATTGTGATAATGTTACGTTTCTCTGACCATAGAGTTAGTCGTTGCCGACGGAGATAAACAACGCAAGATTAGCAGTAGAGCGGATATTGATAGAAATGATATTTTTCGCACGGTTCGAAGATATGTGCTAATTCGAATTAAAGCCACAGTCTCCAGTACATTAAGGAAATAATCTGCCTATGTTTAGAACAGGATGACACTGGCGCTTGCTATACCCAAATATTAAATTGTCGCCACGCCATTTGATAAAATTGATGAAACATTTGGACATGGCATCAAATGACATAACTGTGAACAAATCCTGTTAATTGAAACTTTAACATACGTCTGCATGTTGTATGCAATGTTCATTTCAAAAGGAGGGTAACTTATTTCACAACCCCTTGATTCTCATCTTCGCACGCTCGGTCTTCACTGCGTTCGACCGACGGGAGCCGAGTGAACGAAGATGTTGATTATTGCCAAGAATTAAATGAGCAATCGTGGAGATCAGTGGAGGGTACGAGTGTGTCTAAATATCGAATAATCACAGATATGCATTTACACGTCGCACGAAACTGGGGACAATTAGAGTAACATTATGGCGTCAAAATACCAAAACAATACAATGGCCAGTATAGGGCGCAATCAGCATTATAACGTCAAAAACGACAAGCGTTACATTTCGTCAAGTTTAGTCAACCTAAAAATAAGATGCTTTATTCTTATTCAATCCTGGTGAAATTCACAGAGCAAGAAGATCTCGAGGACAATATTTCTAAAATGTTTTTGATTTTTGAAAAACGGTCAGGAAATCCACTCGGGGCGTCAGTAAAAATTGATATGTATGGGATTTGTGGTAAAAAATCGATGCGTTACATTTTTTCAAGTCTCTAAAAGCAACTCTTATTCTCTTATTATTTGAAAAATAAAGAAATCGGTTATTGTTTTGTAAATTTCGCCATGACAATATTGTGCAGTTAAATTTTTTTGGAAATTAGACCCAAATTAGAAGGTTAAATAAAGGTAAACTTATTGCTTGTCTCCCTCAACTTCAAAACCTTACACAATTTTGAAAATCTTAAAAGCGTTCATATAAGACGATTTGAACGGTAGCCGCTAGGCAATTGTGACGTCATAAAAGCACATGTTTCAATGAATAAAATGTGAAATTTTAGTAAAAATTCTGATCAGTATTTCAAAAGTTATCCTGATTTCAACGAACCGTGTAAGCGTGAAATGTTACGCCTTACAGCGTATTTGACGATGTCGGAGTACATTTAACTTAAAAAATATGGTAGATCCCATCACACTTTTCAAGGAAAAATAATTTCAGTGAAATGCGAATAAAAAATACTTCAAAATGATATATAATGCATATAGTTAGCTTTTTAAATAAGGCAGATATTAACGCTTAAAGCGGAGATTAGCCCGTATTTCCCGAATTGTCCCCAGGTCCGTGCACGTCATGATTAGGATTTGGATTAAAGGTGAAATGTTTTGAATATTTTCATGTTGCTGTTTTTATATAATCTCATTTTGTCTCCAGGCTTCTGTATAAAAATGAAGATGTGAAACAAAAAAAGATGGAATATCCTATTGACGGACTGACATCTTTAGAATGAATTAGTTATGTTAGCGGAAAAAGCAAGTACAGGTGCACTTATAGTCGTATGTTTACCATAATCAACCTAAATTGGCAGCAAACGATAAAGAGGGGAAAGTAGATCTCAAGTAATATATTTAATAATTGTGTTTCTGTGTTCCTTTCTATCCTTGACTTAATATCTGTACTTTTGACACATCTGATCAAATATGGAAGTAAAGCAGGATTTATGATGAACAAATTGCTAACTTTAAATTGGAAGAGGGGACGTCCGTTATTGGCAAATAACATGAACATTCACAGAATTTTCATAAAATAGAATTCTTAAAACGTGACATGAAATAGTGTGGCAAATATCATATCGTACAATTATAACAATTTAATTTGCCTTCAACTCTTTATCATTTGCTGCCGCTTTAACAGTTAAGAATCTAGTCAAATAGAATATAAAACATGATGATTATCATACGTTTTTACTTCTCTTGAGTTGTTCTATCATAAAGACAGCAATTGGTCATTTTTAGATATTCAATGACCCAAATGCGAGTAGGTAGTTACCAGTTTCACCACCAGGTGGCTGATTCGGGTCAATTAACATGACAGGTATATAAGAAAGTTCCCTTAAACTTGAATAGTATCAATTTAAGTGGCTCAATTTTCATATAACCCTTGTGTGTCTAATACTTATACTAATGTAAATATGTCCAGTAAAGCAAAATATTATCTGTCCATTAAAAGAAAAGATATTTCATTTTTTGTGATTTTATAGCATGGGGTCTATGGCGAATCTCCCCGAGCTAGAAGTCACATTTTCAATGAAAATAAATTTTTCAAAGTTGATAAACACTTTTTAAAACCACATTTCTAGATGTAATTTTACATGTAGATTTCAAATATGATATTACTTTGACTGAATTTTGAATTTTTAATGACGTAAATCAAGATTTTTTCTACTCGCATCAGGGTTATTGTATGTTGAGAACGTACTTTCAAAATTACTAAAAGTACGATATTGCGTACTTTATGCCAAAAATGCTTGTAAATATAAAATAATTATTCACTTGTATGTCTTTTTAAGAACTCTATTCCTTATCCTAGTCTATTGTATAAAGTTGTACAATAAACTCTGTTAATCAAATGTAATTTCTTATTTTATAAAATAAATTGATACTTACCATTTTAATTCGTTACATAATGTACTTAGCAATGATGTTTAAAATGTATGTACTTACAATTCATGCGATGTTCAGTTCCAAATTCATGAAATTTTAGTCTTAGTATTTTAGCCTCTGCGTACACATTTATCCCCCAACTGCATACAATAAAACTTGTATATCCTTACACCAATTTTAATCCAATCGACTTCCAGGTAAAAACCTCGAAATGGGAACATTTGTTGATCAGAACATTTTTGCCAGGTCTTTTAGGGCGTTTGGATTTGACAGGTTTATTGCACATGGAAGGTGAATAATAATTGGGAAATTCTAAAAGCAAGTAATTAATGCAAGGAAGAATACAACGCATGGAGATTGAACTTTTAAGTTGGTTGTTTACAATTTTCAAAAAACGATTTAGTTCATGGAGCTTAAACCTTAAAACTGTTAAACATACTTGATCAAAACTTTTGATATTGATAAAAGCCTCCTCACATATGAACGAAAGCCCCTCGACTTCAATTTGCATGTATTGGCTAATAGGACTTCAGTAAAATTAGTATGTACAATGTACATAGTTTGGGTGTTCGTATGTTTATGTAGCCAATCAGAAAGTTTTTTCTAGTTTACACAGCAAAAAATGCGTATGAATACAATGAATCCTGACGCAGTGTGCCAATCCTGTATAAATCCTGACGCCTGGATTCATACAAGATATGCACACGGTGTGCCAATCCTGTACGTATCCTGAGTCAAGTTTCATACAGGATACGCTCGCAGTGTGCCAATCCTGTATGAATCCTGACGCCTGGATTCATACATTCTGATACTCATAGCATCTTTCTGTTTCAGGGCTGAGAAGAAATGAGATGTCATGGTATATCATGATGGGATTCATACAGGATATGCACACAGTGTGCCAATCCTGTACGTATCCTGAGTCAAGATTCATACAGGATACGCTCGCAGTGTGCCAATCCTGTATGAATCCTGACGCCTGGATTCATACAGGATATGCACGCAGTGTGCCAATCCTGTACGTATCCTGAGTCAAGATAGATTTCTCAAAAGTAAAAGACTCTGTAAAGGCTGGTGTTTCTGTAGTTCAACGTCGTTAAACTCAATAACGGCGTTCTTTATTATTAGGCATTTTCTTGGGGCCGTTATTGAGTTTAAAGTCCCCGATAAATCGGGCTACGTATACCGCCGTGTTTACATTAGGGAATTAGAAGAGTTTATTTTTTATTTAGGTATGCAAGCTATATCAATATTAGGCCTTCATTCATGTACTCGTGTGCATGTAATCAGCATGCCCTTCAATATTATGTAAACCAGGCTATTCAAGTAATACATGTACACTATTTATGTGTGTAGTACATGGGAATACAATTCCCTTGGAAACAAAACACAAATACTTTTATATGTTCAAAATGACCCATTTGATTGATGCATACACTAAATAGCTTCATAAATAACATCTACAAAGTATATCTAATAGTAATTTTTAATTTCAATGGTGAAACTTACTTGGTTAAAATTATACGGGGAATCAACACGGAACGAAGACTGTTCACCTTCCTGGCTTACCTCTGAAGCCTGTACCCGGTAATCTCTTTATATAGGTTAGCGAGAGCGGTGCGCCTGCGCAGTTTTAAACTTTGGCGCACACTTTAACCTCTTTACTATTCTTTCCTTTGACGCAAGTTTTGGATCCACCGAAACCATTTTTCCGCGATAACATGCAACTGATACTTGACAACAATATAAAAACACATAACATCAAGCGATTCAACACAATATTATTGTATTAAATGTTCATTTATACGAGTAAAATGAGGTTAAACTTACCAATCTCTAAAATGACATTTCCGCATGTCCGTCGTTGTGTCTGTTCGTCCCGGGTTAAAACTTAAACTATTGAAACGAAATTGTTGTCAAATAGATTGATAATTATCACGCGATTACTCGGGATATAAAGATCAGTTTTGAGGATAACAGATATCTTTGATTGATTTATATAGCGCTTGTATACACGCAAAATAGTTATTAATTGCAAACCTACTGTTCGTTAATGCAGTGTCGCAATGACGGTTAATTCCTGATACGATTTGCAATTTCGATGTTACCGGAGCTGACCGACATTTTCGTAAAATTCCAAACCTGTCTCCAATATTTTCGTAATTATGCATCAATAGGGTCTAAGGGGGATACGGAATGGTGTGTATGTATTTATAAGGTATGTATGCATGCTTGAATCACATTCTTTATGTAATATTACCATGTTTTCAGTGTTTAATTAGTTCCGCTGGTCGAAACCTGCGGAACGATTAAATTAACGCATCAATGGCAAAATGATCATGGAGGTTAGACCTAGCCGGGGCCATAAGACATGTCAGATAAGAAACGAGGCCCAGGCTAGGTCTAATGTTGTTGGACTAGTGTTTCTGTTGAAGAGGTTGTGAATGGGAATTAAGAGACACATATTAATGGGGAATTATTGGTAAAACGTTGGTTGTTCTGATTGGATCATTCATAAACATTTATCATATAGAATGAACATTTATGATATTATCTCAAAATGGACTGTTTCAAGAGGCATGAAGCATTGTTGGTTCAAACAGGGTGTAAGTATGTTAAGCCATTATAAAAGTTTCGATCAAGCTGAATTATAAATG